AAGGAGATATGACCCGAAAACCAGGACTTGTATAGTGGTGACGAGAAGTGACGAGTTTTGAGATTTCTGACGTTGTTTTCGCTCCCGCTCATCCGTTGAGCTTCATCACGTCGATTTCCAGGTTTGTACCATGATTTTAAACACTTTTTTAATGCATGAAATGATCCTTGAACTTATTTATTCATATATATTTAAAAATATAAATGTTTTGATATTTATAATTGCCAAAATTATTTTATTGTTAAAGCTTCAAATAAATTATTTGTGAATGATCTATGGACGTTAAAAAATATTTTTATGAAGTTAGTTTAAAGCTTAGAAGCTTAAATGGTGTTTGAGAAATTGGATCGAAGGTTGAAGATGATGAATGGTAACTGCGTCTTTCTTGCGCGTATACGGTAGCTACATACCGTTTAAACGATACCAAGCTACCGTGTCATGGTACCAAGGTACCGTCTCCATGTACCGTACGACGAGATTCTTGCCAGAACGGTACGGTCGACCGTTTGAACCCAACGGTCAACCGTTACGAACATTTTTAAGTCCGAAAATGCTATTTTTGAAGCTATAAAATCCTATTGTTGTTACCAATCAATTATGATCAATATGAAAATGATTTTTGGAAATAAATATGATGTTTTGACAAATTCAATTAACCCTATGTGATGTATGACAGTAAGCTATAGTGTTAACACTCGACACTAGGTTGTTACTTATTATTGGATATTGTGATGATTATTGTTGAATGTTGATTTTGATCAAACCTTGATGAATATTTTGATTAAAATGATGATTATAAATGATTGAACCATGTTTAAAAATGAATGCATTGATGATTATGAAAATAATATGTTTTGTTAAGGGTATCTAGAAAAACTCTAAGATATACCCATATTGATATTAATTTTGAAGGGTATCTAGAAGAACTCTAAGATATACCCATATTGATATTAATTTTGAAGGGTATCTAGAAGAACTCTAAGATATACCCAGATAACTAATTGAGATAATTAATGTTGACAATACATATGTGACCAATTCAGTAATCTGGGGTTAAAACGTACGTACGAGATCCAAATCAAACTTGAGGATCACTCATTTGAGGATATCACCCATCCGACAGTAAATAAGTCCACTGTTCAGTTGGAGCGTGATCGGTATTGTTTAAGAAATTATTTTGTGAATTTTTTTGTTTTGCCATGCACTCAGCTTCATTGCTGAGTGTGTAGATTTTTTCATCTTTCTACACGTATGTATGAGAGAGAATAAGTAGAGTCTATTTTGGAGAATATTGAGATGGAGGTGATGCGTGGACGCGCACATATATACTATTTAAATAAATGATTTTATCATATGGGTTGATCATATTGTTGTAATTTGCAAATTGCTTCCGTACTGTTTTAAATAATTTTACTCCAATGTTATTATGAAATATTTTGCACAATTGTTTGAAATAAAGTTTTTAAGTGTTTTTAAGTTTTACGTTACCAAGTTAATACTTTAGTCCAAATGGGACTGCAGACATGGACGGATTAGGGTGTTATAACTCTGATCCATCATTGGCATGAAATGAGGCCCAGAGTTTTATTGGGGTCCGAGAACACATTGGGCCTACTCGCTGTACTCACCATGCTCGATATCCATCATCGCCAAAATAGAAGTTTGCATTGTGATAATGTGACACTATATATGGATATTTAATAATACATTTTAGTATTATACATTGACATGATTGACATTGTGCTTGCATAGTAACACCTGTTTTAGAAATACAAATATAAACCTTCTATTTTGGCACATTTTCTGTTTTACTTCTAATTTAGTCTTTTTCTACGTTTTTTAGAATTTTTTTGTGTTCGTATTGGGTGAAAGGCTAAAATAAAAATGAAATACAAAGAAAGAACTAAAATATGACTTTCATGTTTTTATTTCTAAAATATGACCTATAATATCAATAACACAAACGTATAATACTAGAACACTATGAAATGCTAAAATATAATGTATCATTAATATTATTATAATTATGCATACGGGTACAATTGCGAAAGGTGTTGGGATTTTAAGCGCGTAAGGCTATTAAAATATCAAGAACGCGAAAAATAAATAACACACTACACAAGAAGAAAATATGAGAGAAAAATTATATCTTCACTATTTCAGAACGATACATAAAAAACTCTCCCTGTTTACAAGTGCTAAATACCAGACACTTATAAACAGACTTTTCACACCCTACACCCGGATGTATTTTTTCAGGTAACTAAAACCAGTTACTCCCTACACTCACTCACACAATGTTGGTGATATCTTGTGTATACCTCTCTCTTAACCTTCGTCTTTTTCCTTAGTCGTGTGTATGCTTACTAAGAAGACCATGCATGACTTTTAAAGCCAAGGGAAGTACTCCTGCAAATGACCACAAGCACAAGAGTCCAAAATTTGATTCCCTTCCATAAAAAAATCCACACGCAATTTGATTCCTTTGATTTCTTTCTTTTCCTTTTTTTCTTTTGATTATTTAATCAAATATCTCAACAAACTCCACCTTGATTAATTAATCAAACCATGGTCCGGCTCCACCCCGCTCGTTCCGGCGAGGTCACAGTCTCCACCAACTTGAGAAGATTTAAATGTCACCCGCTTCTTCCATACAAATGCTCCGCTCGTTGCACTTGTAAATTTTCCGTCTGACAACTTCCGTGTCAAATCTTTTCCTACAAGTTTATACAAACCCTTTGACAAAACTCCTTTTGCTACCACCATTGTTCCCCTTGAAATTTTTAACACTCCACTTTGAGCAAAAATTCGGCAGCCTTTTGAATCTAAAGCCCCCAATGAAATCAAATTTCCTTTTAGACCTGGTACATGTTTCACTCCAGTTAATGTTCTCACCATGCCATCAAACATGCGAACTTGCACTGTTCCGACCCCTGCAATTTTGCTCCGTGCACCATTTGCCATCTTCACAGCACCCTCATCACAAGTTTGATACGTATCAAATTGTTCCTTAACTGAACACATGTGAAACGGACAACCCGAATCTAATATCCAATCCGATTTACCTAGACTCTTTGTAGTTGCCAAAAACAAATCTTCTTCACTTTCTTGTTTCGAACCTTCTGCAACCGAAGTCACGGGTGTTTTCCCGTCCTTCTTTTCCTTCCTCCTCTTTGGACAATCCCTTTTGAAATGACCCTCTTCATCGCAGTAGTAACACCGAAAGCTTTTATTACACGATTTGAAGCGTTGGGACGCGCCGCCCCTCTCTTTAGACCGTCGTCGTTCCTGACCAGCTCCTTTTGCTACCAAAGCTTGACCGTCATTTGATACCCCGTTGCTACCCCGCCAAGTCTCGTTCATCAACAACGCAGCAACTACTTCATCAAATTTTAAGGTTTCTTTTCCAAACAAAAGCGTGGTCATGATGTTGTCAAAAGATGAAGGCAATGAAGCCAACAAAAGCAGCGCCTTGTCCTCCTCTTCAATCCTCACATCAATGGATTCCAACTCTGTTGTAATCTTGTTGAATTTATCCAAGTGTCCATTAAAGTTAGCTTCCTCCGCCATTTGGAGACCAAACAATCGTTTCTTCAAGTATAACCTACTTGTCAACGATTTCGACTTGTACCGGCTCTCCAGCTTGTCCCAAATATCCACCGGGTCCGTCAAACCGAGAACCTCCCGAAGAGTATTATTTGCAAGGCATAGGCATATTGTACTTGTTGCCATGTCCTTCAAATCCTCCCACTCTTCTTCCGACAATTTTTCCGGTTTGTCGTTCTTTCGGTGTTTGGCCCACTCAGCATCCGTCATTTTTTCTGTCCTCTGAACCTTCACCTTCAGAGCTTTGATTGTCTCTTCTCGAGTAAGAACATTTTTTACTCATTGTTGCCACAGAGTAAAATCACCACATCCATCGAAAGGTTCGATGGAAACATTCGAACTTTTCACCGATGCCATTTTTCAAGTTCTTCGACTTTCTTCTCTTACCGCTTAGAAATCCCTCCGCCCAAATGTAACTTGGCTCTGATACCAATTGTTGGGATTTTAAGCGCGTAAGACTATTAAAATATCAAGAACGTGAAAAATAAATAACACACTATTCAAGAAGAAAATATGAGAGAAAAATTATATCTTCACTATTTCAGAACGATACACAAAAAACTCTCCCTGTTTACAAGTGCTAAATACCAGACACTTATAAACAGACTTTTCACACCCTACACCCGGATGTATTTTTTCGAGTAACTAAAACCAGTTACTCCCTACACTCACTCACACAATGTTGGTGATATCTTGTGTATACCTCTCTCTTAACCTTCGTCTTTTTCCTTAGTCGTGTGTATGCTTACTAAGAAGACCATGCATGGCTTTTAAAGCCAAGGGAAGTACTCCTGCAAATGACCACAAGCACAACAGTCCAAAATTTGATTCCCTTCCATAAAAAAAAATCCACACACAATTTGATTCCTTTGATTTCTTTCTTTTCCTTTTTTTTCTTTTGATTATTTAATCAAATATCCCAACAAAAGGAAAGGTAAAACTAATTTCGAATGTGTTAGGTGTACATCAACATGGTATACATCATGCTTTTCACTTATAGGAAATGACTCAAAATACTAGTATTGCACTATTTGATGGGCCGATATCCAGAGGACGGCCCAAATGAACCATTTAAACAGCTTCGGGTCAAGCACCTGTGGAATACTCAAGCTGAGCCGGCCCAAGGAGCTGGGCCTAGTTAACCTCAGGCCAAGTGCAGCTGGCAGAGTGAGTCCGGAGAAGGAGACGGAGCTGATTGGCCGTTACGGAGCCGGAAAAAGGGGATCGCGCCCTTGCACGGGCTAAACTCCATCGGTTACGCTTCACCTTAATTGTTGAGAGCTCGTGTATAAATAGAAGGGACCCGAAAGGGGAGAACTCAAGCTAAATCAAGCTAGTAATACACATCCAATTCTCGAATTCTTGTTCTTAATTTTGTTCTTGCGATCCGCTCTGTAAATCGGATCATTCGGTGGATTTATTGTCCATCAAATTGGTGCTCTCGTTGAGAGTCCGAGAATCATACTCGGAAGAAATCCTCCACAACGACGATGGTGCAAACACGTAGCAACGCCAACGTAGGTACCGGAGTTCCCCAACAGGGGGAGAACAGCGCCACCGGAGGTCGGCACCCCCCCATCACCACCGGGGAGGTTGAGGCCCTCATTCAGAGGGTTGGGATCACGACCGAACAATTCAAGGAGGTGCTGGCCGCACTTGCCCCCAACCGCGAGGTAGTGGTGGGAGATGTGGCTGGGGGACCCATAGGCGAGAAGGCTGGGCCTGAGGAAAAAAGAAAAAAGTGAGGCGGTCCCAGAAGAAGAAGGCGACCAAGCCCAATGGGAAGGCTATGATGGCGGATGCGCTTTCCAGGCTGGAAGAAGAGGACGAGTCGTCCTCCTTCGAGCGAATGTCTGCTTTTGACCGTTTGGGAGATCCCAAGTCGAAGAAACCTCGGACCTCTGCGTTCGAAAGGTTGCAGGACACTCGGTCGGCCCGAAAAGGCGACTTGAGAGACACGCTCAAGGAGAAGAGAGGGGAGTCCACAGCGACCTCCAAGGTCGGTTCTGAGGAGCGACAGAAGAAAGTCGGGGATAAAGGTGCAGCCGAGCTGTGGAAAATGTACGAACAACTAGAGAAGCGGCTGGATGCCCAGAACCCCTATCGCCAGGCGGTCTTCAGTGAGGTAACGCCCTTCTCCAGGAGGATAATGTCCTGCCCTCTCCCAGATAATTTCAAGACTCCCCAGATCAAGGCATACAATGGGACGACCGATCCCCAAGACCACCTCGCTCGTTTCGAGGCCAACGTGGTCATGTACGCGTATCCAGAAGAAATCAAGTGTCGGTGCTTCTTGGCGACACTGGAAGGGCAGGCTTGTGAGTGGTTTCACAAGTTACCCAAGGGGTCGATAGATAAGTGGGGCGACCTGGCCCACAAGTTCTTGGAGCACTTCGCGTCCAGCCGGAGACAAAAGCTCCCCTTCTCGCATTTGCTCAATGTGAAGATCCGGAAGGGGGAACAGCTCCGGGAGTTCATTAATAGGTGGGAGAAGGAGGCTAGGGATGTCCAAGGGGCGGACGACCAAGCCCTGATCGCCATGCTCCAAGCTGCACTCCCCCAAGGGGATGTGCGTAAGGAGCTGCGACGGAATCCTCTCTCGACCTATCAAGAGATGTTGGCCAGGGCGAAGTACCTGGCGCTGGAAGAGGAAGATGATGAGCCACCAGTCCGGAAGGAGAAGAAAAGCGGGCCACCGGTGGCAGAAGGAAAGAAGAGGAAGGAATATGGTAAGGGGCCGAACCCCACCGGGTATCATGCGAACAGGCATCCCGTTCACGCGGTACAGTCGTTGCCGGCCCCTCCTCATGGTCGGGAAAGCTATGGTGTGCAAGATGCACCCAAATACTGCGAGTACCACCGTAACAGCACCCATAACACGTCGGAGTGCGTTACGCTGAAGAAGGAGATGGATCAGCTGATCGCTAGAGGGCCACCTCCTCGGTCAGAGCGACCGTCCACAAGTAACCGGACCTGGAGGAGGCCG